ATTTCTTCCAGGGCTTACCTAACAACAAATGGCGCATTACGTTCATCAATAAGAACTATGATCTGTGTGACACCTACCCCACCGTGCTAGCTGTGCCCTTTAAAAGTAAAGAAGAAGACCTTAGGAGGGTGGCTGCCTTTCGGTCAAGGGGACGCATACCGGTGAGACTAAGAGTGTAAAACCACATTTAGAGCTAAATATTTGATTATTTACTGCAGAAAATCTCATTTCAGTCCTGGAATTGTTTAGCTGCCCCTGAACAAGTTATACCAAAGGAGGTTGTGATCCTGATAATCTGTCCTCAGGTCCTGTCTTGGATCCACCGGGAGAACCAGGCGGTGATTGCCCGCTGCAGCCAGCCCCTGGTCGGCATGTCCGGGAAAAGAAACAAAGATGACGAGCGCTACTTGGACCTGATCAGGGAGGCCAATGACACCACAAAGCTCACCATATTTGATGCTCGACCCAGCGTCAATGCAGTAGCCAACAAGGTCAGCCAAGTTCAGACCTCAATGTTTTAAGTGTCAGCATTCTCACCAACTTTTCACCAATTTCTACCTCAGTTTCCTCAGCAGACCATTTTTCTTTCACCATGCTGTCTTAATTTTGCTTCTCTTTTAAAGACATTTTATCTGAAGACCAAGTCATTTCCCATAGCCTCACAAACCAGCTCACCACAGATTTACCAGTGGTCAGAACCATGAAAACTGGGCTTACAATCTTGTAGAATGAATTAAGCTCATTCGGTTTGATACAGAGAATGCACGCTGAGTGTTGTATTTTTTATCAGTGCCTCTGACATTTTGACTGGCAGTAGCAAATGGAAGACAGGAAATGCAGTACGTGGAACAAGTCAGAAATGTCTGACATCTTGGAGACAACTGCTGCTGTCTGGTGTTAATCAGGTCGCTCTGGGATGTTCCACAGGGGCAGTTGTTGCTACGTGTTTATGTTTTCCAGGGAAGTTCACCAGTTTCCAACACATATCAAGACCCTGCACCAGCATTTAAAAAAACATTTCTCATCTACCTTTGAGAAGCAGAAGAGAGTCAACTTGGACATCTAACCAAAACCCTTTTCTCTTAAATGTCTGTGAGGCATAATAGTAAATGATAAACCTGGGAAAGGTACTCACGGTAACTTGTACCTTGCAGTGTGAGAACACAGCTAATGTAAGTGCAATAAAGGTGTCGGATGACGTGGGAATATGCTCATTGAAGGGAACTTATGACCTTTCAGTTGTTGTAAATGTTGAGTAAAAAAGGTTGTTGTCAGAGAATACTGTATACGACATGAGCAGACCTAACTTATGTGAGCTTTGGGTAATGTTTGATATGGTTAAAAACCATTTTGCCGCTGTGGACAGAAACATGGAGACTATTTCTCTGGGCTTGTTGGTAGTAGCAGCCGGCCCCTCAGCCTATTTACCACTTCCTCTGTACGTACGTCACCAGACATAGGTACTGTGTAACTGTGGAAGCAACAGATAGCCACGATGTTGAGTGTTTCTTTTCATGGCGCAAAAAAGAAAGCCTTCTCATACGCGTGTAGCCTTTGTTCGATCAGTAGAGGAAAAATATGTGGCCTCTTTGTTTGGCAGCGTTTGTTCAAATGTTTGCTCAGTTCATGCACACAGCTCACTGTGCTGTTCATTTACTGTCCATCATCAGGTCAAAACACCCCTCATCTGATTTCCTCTGAATTCTTTAGACTGAGGTTGGGTTAGCAAAAACACCCAGTAATGTTTGCATGTATAAAGATGGAGATTCCTTGTAACCCTCAGGCCACCGGAGGTGGATATGAAGGTGACGAATATCAAAACGCAGAGCTCGTCTTCCTGGATATCCAGAACATACATGTCATGAGGGAGTCCCTGAAGAAACTGAAAGACATCGTCTACCCCAATGTGGAGGAGTCCCACTGGCTGTCCAGCCTGGAGTCCACACACTGGCTGGAGCACGTTAAGGTGAGGCTGAAGAGGTCAGGAGGAAACCGTTCAGGGGGATATTCTGTGTGTGGAGCTCTTTGTCTCAGTGCCGTCCCTTTGTGTGTAGTTTAGTTTAGTTTTATTAGGATCCCCATTAGCTGCCAAATAAATGGCCAATAGTCTTCCTGGGGTCCTCACATGAAGAAATTATATTACATTATAAACAGATCATAAAAAATAAAAATAAAAATCAAAGTAGGAAATAATAAAAAACATAAACAAGAGTAGACTATACAACATATACACACAGTTCATGTTATCATTTGCAGTAGTTCTGAAGACACAATATTTTTGAAGCTTGTTCTGTTCTTAACTGTTCGTGTGGTTATTGGTAGTTGGTTCCAGTGAAATAATAATAATCTATTGGTTCCAGTGAAATTTGGCTCTATAATGGACTGTGGATTTTAGAGAGTTTGTCCTGGGTCGAGGGAGTTTAAAGTCTCCCCCTCGTGCCCGCCTAGTTGAGTAATTATGATTTTGTTCAACAAGGACTAAGTGTTCAACAAAAAATGAGGGCAGTTTTTTAAAGAAAACATTCCATATAAATAAGAGAAGTCTTAATTTAAGTTTATAAGTTACTGTTAACCATGAAAGTCGTCTATGCATTGAAGCCACATTTGTTCTCTGTAGCTTGTGTTGTCGGGGGCCATCCAGGTGGCCGACAAAGTCTCAAGTGGAAACTCGGTGGTGGTCCACTGCAGCGACGGCTGGGACAGAACAGCCCAGCTCACATCGCTGGCCATGCTGATGCTGGACAGCCACTACCGCACCCTCAGGGGGTTCCAGGTGAGGCCCCGCTCAGGAACCCAAGAACGGTTGTGCTGTTTGAAAAAGGCAACTTTTATGCACCGACATGCAGTTTATTTGGCTGGTTGTGTCTTATTTAGGTCCTCATTGAAAAGGAATGGATCAGCTTTGGCCACAAGTTTGCCTCAGTAAGTAAAAGTGTATTTATGCAAGCCTTATTTCAGAGAAATATTGAAAATCTTTTCATAATTAAATGTTTTAAATCAATTTAATGTTAATTTTGTGCGTGTGTGTGCATAGAGGATAGGTCACGGTGACAAAAACCATGCAGATCAGGACAGATCACCCATTTTTGTGCAGTTCATCGACTGTGTGTGGCAGATGACTAAACAGGTATGTTTCACTTGACTACGTCCTCGTGTATGCACAGGGTAAAGTGCACAATTTTCTGCTTGGCCGCTCTATTAGACTGAAATAGATTTGTGTTGTTTTCGATCTGCTGGAACCTGTTCCATGACATTTATCAATGCTTTTATCATCTGATCCAGGTCAGGTATACAGGTCTCACCTCACTGATGACATGGCCTTTGCGTTACTTACTGTAGATTAAAGAGAGAAGACACAAACCAGCTGCGTCTCAGCGGCTCTCCTTACCAAAATCCCCAAGACAGCTAACCTAAATTAAACAGGACTAGCAGTTGGTCCTATTTACTGTTGGTCCTGGTTCAGTGCTCCAGCTGGACCTGTCATCCTTCAACCTGAACTTAGAGTTCACTTTTCACCAGAAGTGTTTTAGCCTCACAGTCCTCCAAATGAATGTCATTTTTTACTAAGGTTGTGCAAACTACTGCTGCGTACACTGTCTGTTTATTTCTAGACTGCTTAAACCAGCCCCTGACCCTGTTTTTAATGCCCAGTACCAGAGCCCCACCCACACATCCTAATAATAAATGCATACTAGCATCATGGAGACGCAGTAAACTCGTCATTCCTCGTGTCCGTTTTAACCTTTTTTCATGATCTCATGAGGGAATCGCAGAGTTTATGGGCCAGTAAGGGAACATGGAGGTTTACAGTCTCTAAGCTTATAATCTAATAATTAAAGTTGTCTTTGAATTGTGACAGTGTTTTCTCCCCTCTCAGTTTCCTACAGCCTTTGAGTTTAATGAGCACCTCCTGTTGACAATCCTGGATCATCTGTACAGCTGTCGCTTTGGGACTTTCCTCTTCAACTGTGAGAGTGCACGAGACCAGCAGGTAAGGGCGCATTGACATAAAAGCAACTTGTCCTAAAGGCTCGCCTTTTCTTTATGGCTCTGCGTCCTCTTTTTCTTTACTGCTGGTAAAACGCACATGCTAACAGTGCCTGTTCTCTAACACCAGAGATCTCTAACAGAGATTGTAAATAGGTAGATGTTCTCTTTTCAGAAGTATATCTTACTCATTTCTAGCTTGGCGCATAGAAGTGTTCAACCAGACTTTGTATTGTGAGTCACAAAGGACCAGTTGACCTCGGGCATTCTGACTGGAGACTCTCAGCACCTTTTAGGATCATTTTGGGATAAAAACATACAGAGATACTTCATAACTTCCAATACACAAAGATAATTGAGGCTTGTTTCAGCCTTTGTTACACACATATGTGCATGGTTCTTAACACGTTACACAACTGACTTAGTCCACACGCCAGTCTAACTGCAGCATTTTCCTGTCGGTTTCCTCTAGATTAGCCCTTCTCTGTAAACGCTAAACCCTTCTCTCCATCTGTGGTGCAGGAGGTGAGGTCGAAGACCGTGTCCCTGTGGTCACTGGTCAACAGCAAGATGGAGAATTACCTAAACCCCTTCTACACCCCGGAGTCGGGCCGGGTCCTCTATCCCGTGGCCAGCATGCGCCACTTGGAGCTGTGGGTGACGTACTACATCCGCTGGAACCCCCGCATCCGACAGCAGGTAGGACAACTGCCCTGTGTTAGAACATAACTGCTCCAACTCAGCAGGGAGGCCACAGATGTCCAGGAGGGCTGTAGCGTATCACTCTATAGGAACTGTGGATTTAGTCCTGAATCTGCCCCAAAGCGGCGCACGGCGTGTAAAAATTCTCCAGCTGCTGAGGACAGCTTTAGGAAAAGACTCAGGGCTTAGTTCTTAGCACAAGTCATCATTAGCTACATCATAAGGAGGTTCTGGATCCCTCTTCCAGTTATCCCTTTGGAGCCAACCACACATTTAGGACAAGGGCTTTCCATGACTGGCTTAGCCATGCTCATTCATATTTGTGCAGCTGTTTACCTCATTTTTGTTATATTCAGCTTATAGATCTACAAGTTATATTTCTTTCAAATGGTGGTGTTGTCTGGCTTCCACCAAACTGTCAAAACTCATTTTACCGGGCTATCAGGCCAGCATAAACGCAAGGCAGAGCTCTTTTGGTATGTTCCACTGCTGAAAAACAGCCTGAGAGTGGACAGAAGATGGACAGCTTTTAGCTGTTACTGTTCCTGTGTAGTGGTCTGACTGGGCCAGCTAATAAAAGGCCCATGACAATACCCATGGTACTGTCATGGGCGGGGAGAAAATCAATCAATCATTCAATCCAGTATCTTTGGCTTATAAATCACACACGGTTAGTCAAGTGTTTGGACTACTCCCTCGCTCATGATTTTTCTTTATCTTTAAAACAGTTTACACTCTCACTGAAAACATCAATACTATGAATAACCGCATATGGAATTATGCAGTAAACCTAAAGCTGTCCAATGACTCAAAACATTTATGTGTATATGCAGATTCTTGTAGATGTATTGAAAGATTTCTGTGTATAGGAGGCTTTTGGAATTGGCAAGTACTCGATTGAATTATTTCTGGAGTCGTGCTGGAGCCGCGGTTGTGCGTTGTGTGACTGTGTGTGGTGTGTGTTGCAGCGGTTGTGCGTTGTGTGACTCTGTGGTGTG